TATTATTATTATTATTATTTATTACCTTTATCATTAAATGATATGAACATTTATAATATCCACAAAATAAAAATAGACTTTAACATTTTTTATATTTCAAAATATAATTTTTTTTTCTTCATATCGATACATAAATAAAACAACACAATAAAATTTTAAATTAGTTTTAAAAAACGTAACAAAGGAATTTAAAGAATAATTAAAAAACCATATTTGAAAAATTTTTTTTCAATAATTTTTATTTTAATGGCTTTTGGTTTAATTATTAATTATTACTTCTACCATACAATAAATTGTTTAAAAATGACAAAACCACTTTCTATTAAATGAAAAAAATTTTTAAAGATGGCCTAAAAATATTTAAATTTATTAATTTATTTTATTTTAATTTTATTTTCTCAGCCTTTTTTTACTAAAATAATTATTTATACAAAAACAATCAAATTGCTAGTAATTTTTTTTTTTTATAGATTTTTAAAATGTAACAAATAATTTTTTAATGTTCTTAATTTTGTTTGTTTTTTTTTTTTTTTTTCTGTTGTCAAGTCAACTACCTGCTATCTTTTTCTTATACGAATCGATTAAAATCGAATCAAACTTTTTTTTTTTAAAGCGTCATTTAAGATATTTTTGATTACTTTTTTTTTGTAATTTTAATTCTTTGTAGTATGAAAATAAAAAAAAAACTTTTTATTAATCCAATAAGACATTTTAATAATTTATTTATATGGAAATAGTGAATATATGTACCATTAATTTTTTTAACAATACAATACAGTAAGTTAAAGTTTTGTGAATTAGTAAATTTTAAAAATTATTTGAAAACTTATAATTTTTTTTTGTTTTCAGATGTGTGCCTGAAAAGGTTTGTTGTTCCGGAGATAATCGTAAGCCCATATGGGCATCTTGGTACGCTTGGTACGTAAAAATTATTTAAACCTTACATTTTATTTGATAAACATAAAAATTTTTTTTGTAATTTTTTAGGTTGGGTGTAGGAATAGTTTTTTTATTTTTGTTAACATCATTTTTAATTTACGTTGCCAGTTCTTGCAAGAAAAAAAATCAAAATATCATAAGGATTCGTAATTCTATACACAGTTCTGATGAACTTAACGTTATAGCAACAATAACCGGACCTGAAGGTATCATACAACCTGATTTTAAAAATTTTACTAATCGTGTCAATTCTCAACCGTCAATTATTCAAGACAATAGGTTTGTATTGTAGTCTAACTAAAATTTTTTTTTTTCCTCATCATTCTTATGACTCATTTAAATTTTACAGCATTCAAAAAGATTTGCACAAAGCAATTGCAAATCCTTTATCACCCCCATATCCTCCTGTAAAACCAGTGACAATAATAAAAGGCCCAGCACCGTCAGAAGGATACCGCCAAACAGAATCGTACACAGACATAGTTCTACCTCCAGGTTTTATTGATTCAGATCATCACAAACCCTAAAATGGGTTTATTTGATAAATTGTCCACTTACCTCAAGTCAAGAAAGCAAATAGAGGCCAATATTGTAGTTGTGGGACTTAATAACAGTGGTAAAACTTCAATAGTTAATAATTTTAAACCGGAAGATGTTAGATACCCGGATACGGTACCCACGGTCGGATTTACCGTTGATAAATTTCGTAATAATAACGTTGGATTTACTGCCTTTGATATGAGTGGCCAAGAAAGATACAGGGATCTTTGGGAACACTATTACAAAGACTGCGATGGAATTATATTTGTTATAGATTCAAACGATGCATTAAGATTGGTAGTCGTTAAAGAAGAATTAGATCTTTTGTTACAACATCCAGATATTGCAAATAAAAAAATACCCATTTTGTTTTTTGCTAATAAAATGGATTTAAGAGATAGTTTATCTACTGTTAAAATAGCATCCGCTTTAAATTTAGACAGAATCATGGACAAGCCTTGGCATATATGTTCCAGCAATGCAATAACTGGAGAAGGTCTTCAAGAAGGAGTTGAATGGTTCACACAACAGATAAGAGACAAAATTCAGTCTAAGCAAAAAACATAACAAACAAATATGGATGATAAAATAAATTATTAAAAGAAAGATTTAAGTATTTGTCGTTATGTATATGTTGTGTAATAATTTCAGTAAGTAATTTAGTATGTTAAGTGATAATTTAATGTATTAAAGACTGTAAAAATTTGTTTTTTGTTTGTTAAAAAAAAAAATATTTATAAGAATAAGGGGAAATTTGCGTTTAAGATTTTTAAATGTTATAAATTTTTAAAAAAAAGTTTTATCGAGAATAAAACGAACATTACGGATAAAAACTTAAATGTGAGTTAATTTTACTAAATGTTAGTTTTTTGAGTGCAAATAAATTTTTTAAAAAATTATTATTTCCATTTATTTTTACATCATTTAAATTTTCTTTTTCCATAAGTTTTATTTATTCTATTCCCTCTTTACTTATTAAACATAAGTAGTCGGTTATAAGGAACTGAAATTAACATTACTAATGGAATTTTCATTTAAAAAAATTACAAAATTATAAATAAAAAAATCTTCTGAATTAGTTTTCTCAATTAATAATAATAATAATAATAATAATAATAATAATAATAATAATAATAATAATAATAATAAAAATTAAGGTTTTTTTTTACAAGGAAACGTAATTTTAAAATAATAATAATAATTTTTTTTTTTTAAATATAAAAATGACAATTAAGTTGAAGGATATTTTCTAATGCCACGATCATTTCCCCCCCGTTTTTATTTGAAACAAATAAAACAAAAAACAAGTTTTTTGTTCTTATCAGTGTTATGATCGTTTATTACTTTTGTTCAAAATTTAATATTATTATTTTCATTGTCTCTTTGTTGTCATGACTGGTTCATAAATTATAATTAAATTATTATAAATAATTATAGATAATTTTTATTTAAGAGGAAATGTTTATCAATAATTTTTTGAATATATTTTTATTTATATTATTTAATTTATATAGAATGAAAGGAACTGTTTCGTAAGTTATAGTATTTTAATAGTTTTTATTTATTAGTATTTTTCAAAAATTAATATAAATTGCTTTTTTGTTATTATTGTCAAAAAGAATATTGATGATCGTTATATAATAAATTGTTACATGTAGATATTATATGCAAATGATATTGTTAATAGGTTTATGGTGAGAAATTTAATATTTTTTCATAGGTGTAATATTTTTAATCATTCCAAAGAATGCACTATTCTTTTGGAAAGTATTTCCACAGCTTCATCTAATTTCATATCATGCATTGTTCGAAATTCTAGGCCTGTTCAAATATGCACTTCATGTGCAACAGATTATTTTTTTGTTTTGGATAAATATGAAGATATAAAAAAGGTATGACTGACATTTAGAATTACATAAACCATAAACCATTGCTTGAATCTAAATAATTTTAATAAATGAAGAAATAATTGTCATAATCGGTCAGTATTATCGAAAACATTATTTTGTATCATTTCATATTCGATTTATCTTTACTGGGAAAAAAAAAATTTAGAGCTAATTTTTTAAAGATGTTTATAAATACTCTTTATATAATTTATGATTATTTTTATTCATTTACTTAAAAGCATTATTTTATTCTTATTTAGTCACAAAAATCATTAAATTCAACCTGTGATGAAAAACTTTTAAATCAAGATAAGCTAGAAGTTATAGAAACAACGATAACTTTTTTTAATGATCTGTGGTCTAAGGGAAAATGTAACAGTTAGTATTTATTTTTTTTTTCTTATTAATTAACACCTATATATTTTTTATTAAAATAATTATACATCATTTATCATTTTTAGATTAAAAACATGTAAGTTTAAAAATTTTTCAAATTACAGATTGTCTTTTTAATAAAAGCGATGAAGAGTCAGTCATTACCAAAGAATTTAATAAATTTAATTCTGATACAAATCAGTGCCTTGCAAGTTTTTATAATTCATCAAGTAAAACTTACAGTAATGAAGTGTGTAAAAATTGCTCAAATTATTATTATAAGTTAAATAAATTTTATTTCAATTTAAAAGATAAAATAGGAAATGGTTATATTTGTATGGATATTGTTGACACTGTATGTAAAAAATTGCTCAAATTCGAAAAATAAATGATTATCATAATATACTGTCACTGTTGCACATTATAAAATTTTACAAGGACATTACATTTATTTTTAGATGAATATAACTCAACATCTTTGGAGTAATGTCCTTCACTGTGGCAAAACAGTTTTAACGTTTGAAATACCTTTGATTGTGCTGTCTTTAACTGTAATTTTTTTCCCATTAGTTTTGTATGGGTATTCATTCAAATATACTAATCATCAAACAAAATCATCTGCTGTTTTGAGAAGAAATAGATTGTCACAAAGGTTTGGTGAACAATGGAGAAATAGAGGTAGTTCATCTATTTCTAATTAATTCTGATAATTATCGTATCAGACATTTGGTGCCATTTTTTATATTTTGCAGTGTTTTTAATTTCAGTATTTTTAATATAAATATTTTACTAAAACTTTTTTAAATTTAATTTGTACAACACATGAACAATAAAATTTTTTAGCAAAAAAAAAAAAAAGTTGATTTCTAAATAAATATATGTAAAAAATACATTCCGATAGGAGATAAAGCCTAATTCTTAAACCTAATTTTTAATAATTCAAAAAATTTGTTTAACTGACAGAAAAGAAGCAAGTACTATTATTTATTTGCTACACTAATATGAAGTTTATTAATCAATTTTAAAATGTTGTTCCTAATTTTACAAATTACAATTTGTCTTCTTACATAATTTTTTTGATAAATTAATAATAGTATATTTATTAAGACTTAATTTATCGTTTAATTGTAAATAAATGTAATAAATTAGGTGTAGTAATTTGTCACTTTGAAAAGATTAAGTTAAAATATAACTTTTAATTATATTTATTAAAATAGTATGACAGATAGTAATGATTCACTAAATAATAATGAATTCAATTTCTTTTTATTTTAAAGCTATATAATTTTGCATAACAAAAATTTTTTTAAACATGGTAAAAAAATTACAAGATCTATTTTGAGCATAGTGAAAAGAACTGGTAAAAACTTGAAAGTCTTGTTATTGCATTTTTAGAAAGAAAGCACTAATAATTATAAATGTTTCCATACAGTATACCAATTAAATATTTATTTTGATTCCAATTAAAATCTTAAATTCTTCTTCGTCTATCTATGCCTAGGTTTTTTGCTATTTGTTTTCTTTAAACTTGAACTTCTAGAATTTATATTTTTAATTTCTTTAGTTGGAGTAATTGATCTATCACCATTTAAAATGTCAGCATTAACTGCAACACTAGATGACAAATTATTAGATACTGAATTGTTCAAACTGTGTTTTAATTCTCTGTCCTTTGATGTTATTTTTATATCATTATCTTCTCCTCCACTGTTACCACCTTGAGATTCGCTTTCTGAATTACGATCTCCACTTTTTTCACCCTGATCTACTAAGCCACTTACAGCCTGTTAAAACAAGGGAAAATATTTATTATTCAAGAAAATGATTTCAGAAATGTAATATTATTACTTACAGCTATTGAGGTAATAGAGGATTTTGAAAATAGCCTTTCTGCTTCTTTAAATTTTCTGTTTCTCTTGTCTGCTTTACTGTTAGTTGTTTTGTTACTAGCCAAATATCTATCCCACCCCCTAATAATATTTCCATATAACTGAGTATCTTCTAAGTAGGAACCCTCAAAAGCGTATATTTGCCTTTCTAAATTAGCCAGTGTTTCCTAAACACAAAAAAGCTTAAAATTATCTACAATTATTTTTAATGATTTTCTCCAAATAAAAAATTAAAACTGTGCACTCTAAAAATATTCTTTAGAGAAGAAAATAAGGCAAAAAAAAGTAGGTTTGCACTGTTATTTCTCAATTTTAAAAAAAATAGGAATTAATACATAGTAGTAAAAGTATTTAATAAAATACCAAAACTTAGATGACCAAATTGCTTTAATAACTTAAAAAATTAGAAAATAAAATCTTTCCTTACTGCAATTTCAGTTTTCCTTTTAACTAATTCTGCCAATTCGGTACGAATATCAACAGTTGTAGTTTTGTTCGCCATTTTCTATTTGTTTACTCTACAAAGAAGACATGTTGGCGGTTGCCAAATATCGTGGGAATAGAGAATTCAAAAAAATTTTTTTAAATAATTATTTATTAATATTTTTATTAAATATCATTAACTTGAACATTTATATTTATTTTGACAAATAATATGTTTGGTAAATAGAAGTAAAATTAAAATACCGTGACATTATTATATTTCAATAAAGCATAATCTGCTTTGAAATGTACATTATAACAAATGTTAAATAAAATAATTTTACGCTATTTTTACAATTTAATAACTTTTTTAAAGTAAGTTACAAAAAAAATTACATCAAATTAAGTTATTTTCAAGAGTATTTAAATGAATTTAAATAGTTAAACTAAAATTTCTAATGACACGAATTTTAGAAAAAGTTTTAAAAGCACTTTTATAAAATGGCGGAGTTAGGTTCAGAACGCGATTTGTATTTTGTTTTGTAATTTCACTCAGAACTATGGCATAATAAGTTGATTTTTATAATAGATCTGTTAAAAGTTTTATGAATAATTATTATTTCACTTTATAAATGATACCTTGGGTGAGTTTATTTTTGCTTTCACAAAAAACAATGTTTAAAATAATAATTCCTCTGTGAGGCGTCAAATTCTAGGAAATGGCGATGGTTGGAAAAATATGGGAGTATGTAGTTATTTAGTTGTTAAAATTGAGGAATGACAATTAAATAAGAAACTTGTAATAAAATCATTAAAAATTATTTATTCAAAGTCAATAAATGTTTAGCTAGTATTTTGTTTACTTTTAATTCCTTGTTTAACGAATTGAACTCCATTATTGTAATTTCAATGTTTTTATGTTATTGTTATTCACTATTTATTTGTTATTAATTTTAATGATTCAATTCTTACAATTTATTCATTAAGATTTTATTATTAGTTTTTGATATTGAATGAAATATATTACTATAAATGTTAATAAACATTTAGACCAGGTTTTTCTTTTTTCAATATAGATTATTTACTTTTGTTTTGAAGTGATAACAAATTATAAATGATATTTCTGTAATAAAGAAATTGATTGCATTAAAAGTATTAATTGTTTTTCTATTTAATTTAGTTAATTAAAGTTTTGGTGTAAATTAAACTACTTGTTATTTATTAGACAATCAAATTTAAGTTACTTATAGTGAAATTTAAAGACTTGATGTACTTTTTTTTTTTTTGAGGTGAAATAGAAATTTTTTCTAAAATTCAAAATTTTATCCTTTTTAAAATCATTTTTCATTTAAATAAGTGAATATCATCGAAGAAAAAAAAAAAAATTAAATATATTTATGTATAAGAAAAGCTAATACTTTGTATGTATTTTTTTGTATGTATTTAGGTAATTATTATGAAATATATTAAACCATTCTTTTTCTGTTTTTAGAATTAAGTAATTTTATGGTAGCCACGACCAATGCCATGTCATCATCACCAGGTGATATTGATACTTCAAATGGTAGCACAAATGCTATGCCACAAGTTGGTAAGTCAAATTCATTTATCAATTCACTTTTTTTTGAAAAAGTTTTTCATGCTTGACTAATTTTGATCAATTAAATTTTTTTTGAATGCCGTAATTAAACCTATTGAGTTTATTAATGATTTTTTTTTTTAAAAAAAAAAAACTGTTTGTCATGTTTATAAGGCTCACAAGTTTATAGTCGAAATATTATATAATTAAATCAATCATGTCAAAATTTTCTGTAATCGTAATTCTTTTATAAACTGCCTCTTTTATTCGTTTATCGAGATTATTTTAATATTCATTTATTGTGTTTACTGCATTCTAATTAGTTTTGTAAGATACACAGAAACCGAAATTAATAAATTTTTCTTCATTCAATTTTGTAAAAAAAAAAAAAAAAAAAAAAAAAAATTATTTCATTCGAGAAATTTTATATATGAAAAGGTTCATTCATAATAACTTGAAGGAAAGGGCTTAGAAATTTATATTTATTAAAAGGAAAAGGTTTAATATTAACTTACCACTATTCAAACACAATAACAACCCACTTTAATTTCACAAAAAACGTAGGTGTGTAAGTTATTGACTAACGCGAAAGCAATTTTTATCCCAAAAATAAATGAGTGAAACTTTATTAATAATAATTATTTTACGTTATTTTTTTGTTTATCCCAAATTCGTGGATTTGATCAAAAATTTTGTGATGTCAAATTTAAAAAAAAAAAAGCATAAAAAATCTAAATAAAAATTTTAATTAATCTTTATGACATGGAATATTATTACACGAGTTTAAATTAATTTGTAATTTGCTTTAAAACGCATAAAACTTAAAGTAAAAAATTTTATTTATGATATTTAACCACATTTTAATTGTTGAAAAGTTATTTATAGGATATTCTATAATGATTATTATATTGTAGTATAAAATGTAACGTTTGTTAATTTGTAGCTTAATATTTATTTTAAAAAAAATCAATGTCAAAATTTTCATTGTCGTTCGTTAATATGTCACATATGTGTTTTGACATAACGTTTTGTCCATTATTTACATATAAAATGTATGTAAGTTGTTGAATGTTTTGTTGTTATTAATTTAAATATGGACGATATCGTTTCGGTTATTGTTATCGTACGTAATAAAAAATTATGTTTGATAAATAATTCAGCCAAAAATAAAAAAAAAAAAAAAAATTTTACGACTGGCTCATATACACACATTTCACATGATATAGTATGTATATAAACATTTAAATAATCAAAAACTTGAGACTGCAATAATAATAATAATAATAATATGAGACGTTCGCGTGGTATATTGCCATTGTGTTCTATTAAAAAAAAAAAAAAATTCAGTCGCCCTCTTTTTTTTAAATATTTTTTTTTATTTTTTTCCCACTTTGTGACATACATGTTATTCTATTTATAGCTTTCATTATAAGTAATAAATACGTATTTTTAAATATAGAAATGTTTATTTTGAACGAAACATTTTTTTTTTATCAAAGTTCATTCATGTCAATGAAAATTCATGAATATTATTATTATTATTATTATTTTTTTTTTTTTTGAATCATTTGTTTTCCGTTTTCGTAATAATAATAATGATAATGTAATAAGACTACGAATTAATTTTCATTGGAAATTATTTTAGATATCGAATCATATTTTTTTCTTGTGTGTGTGTGTGTCGAATTTACAATTAATTGAGTTATGTTATTATTATTATTATTATTATTATTATTAACGTCAACTTTTTATTAATTTTTCTATTTGTTGTAATTTTTTTTTTTTTTTTTTTCGAAAATTTTTATTCGATAAATTTCATGAAAATTTTTACTTTTAAAACAATCTGATCGTTGTTAATGTTAATAATAATAATAGTAATAATAATAACAATGTCGTAGAAAACTGGAGGAAATTAAAGTTCCTTGAACTGAATCGAAAACGAAATAAAGGCTTCTTATATATGTTATTTATCAAACAAAAAAAAATTAATTTGATTTTCGATAATTTATTGAACTTTGATTCGAAAAGACGACGACGACGACGACGACTATAAGACGATGCTTTGATTTTTTATATTTTAAATCCTTGTACGTTTTAAATTGAATAAAAAATAATAATAATAATAATTTTTTTTTTTTGCTTTTACTTAACTTATATAAATTGAATTTTTTTTGTTTTTTTTTTTCCATTTCAAAAACGTCTTTACATAGGGAGTTGTGTTGTTATTATTATTATTTATTGCTTTATGCGACAAAAAAAAAAAAATTTTTTTTTGTAATACCTGAAATTTTTGAGTTCATATTGTTTTGTTTTTAAAAATTCCGCTTAAAACTTTTAATAATTGTGGGAAATGTTCGAATTCTTGTTTTACTTTTTTTTATCTTTATTATTAATTCGCATTGAGGAGAAAAAATTTTTTTAATACTCTAGAAAAATTATTATTATTATTATTATTAATAAGAAAGAAGAAGAGAGGAAAAAAAAACCTGTTTAATATTAAAAAATTACACGTAGGTAAAAATTTTTAATTTAGGATAAAAATCAGGCAGGCGTAGGTTCGTTCGATTTTTTTTTTCTTTTTAAAAAAATAATTATTTAGGGTTTTATACGTCAAAAAAAGTTTGTTTGTTGAAAATGTAAAAGCGGTTGGAAGAATTATTTAATAATAAAATAAAATAAATAAGTTATGTGATTGATAAGTCATTTTATAAAATTGTTAAGATGTATGGTATGGTAAGGTATGGTAAGGTATGGGGAATAGAATGAAACTTGAGTAAAATTTTGACAAAGCTGAAATTCACTACATAATGATTTGCGTGGGTTTTTTTTTTTTTTAACTTAACAAAGCACACCTTACGGTCATATCAACAATGGATTTGTTATTAAAAAAAAAAAAAATGTAAGGTCAGTTAATTTGTGAAAAGCGTTTCAAAAAACTTTTTCAAAAAAAAAAAAAAAAGAAAAGTTCAGTAGCCTCATTTTAACTTTTAAAAATGAAACCCAAAAAAAAATTAAGTTAATTTTTTTAATTTATATTAAGCACGAAAGCTCGAAAATAATAATAATAATAATAATAATAATTTTTATTAATTGTTTCCCAGAAAAAATAGTCGAAAAGATTTGTTAGGGAAAAGAATCAATTTGTTGTTTGTTTATTTATTTATGCTCTTATATTGACATATAAACAAACTTCATTGAATCACTAATATTATTATTATTTTTTTTATTTATTATTAA